AAGAGATATTCCCGAAGAAACAACTTGTTCGAAGGCTGTCTCGAAAATCAACCAACTAAGTGGTGGGCAGGTGAGGAATGCTTTCAAGAACTGGAACCGTATCTCATTTGTTATGGACAACTTCATGACGGAACGCCTGCCAGATTACGTAATAATAGTTGGAACGATAATCCAGACATATCCACCTCGCGAACCGTATACTCCACCCTGCGGAAAATGCTTACGAACGGGCCACACTTTTACCGAATGTGTTAATGGGCCCTTTTGCAGAGATCCAGGAAATCTTCAAGGACAATGCCCTTTAAAGCGGAGAGATTTTCCAACACTCAAAACCCGACGAAATCGTGGAACACTCAGGAACTGAAGATGCAACCAGAAAACGTCTCCCATCCACCACTCTAATCAGCGTCACAAATAACTGAGCAGAATAATCTACAACCAACAGATTCAATAGGATAGCCAAGCCATCCGACCAATAACCAAAATGACTCACAACCTTAAAAGGTCCTAAGAAAACACAACATACGACTTCACAACCAAAAATAAAGAACAATCGGAAATAGATAAGGACAAATCAGACTTTGATATACAGGAATTCTCCACCTTCAGCTTGGATTCTACAGATATGAAAGAGATCAGCGATTGGTCAGAATACATTGATGAAGGAAGTATTGTGAGTACACAGACTCCTCTACCAAATCAATTTCAAACCAAAACTACCAGACATCTGAAAGAATCGTCGACAATTGGAACGGAAATACGCCGTATCGACCTTTTTCAAATGGCGGGGCCTACGTAAAAGTATTGGTTCACAACATGGTTCACAATCTCGCAACACAACAACATCCTCCGTTTCCGACAATACACCTGACAAAAAATTCCGCAGAACGCAATAAATCGAAGCAAACATCTATGCATCTACCTACATCAAACAGGATTATGGATAATAAAATCAATATCATCTGGAATCATCAATATCATTTGGGAATAACAAAACCAACAGGTAGAGATAGTGGGTGGACAAAAAAAATGATTTTGAAAAACTTCAACTTTCACACTTTCTAGCATATTCCAAGTTATATCAAGAAAATCGAACTGAAGTCACTCGTAACCTCACGCTGTTATCGCCTTATTGGAGGCACAAAACTAAACACGGTAAAACCATCATAGAAGTAGCGGAAGTGATGAAAGAAAGTTAACCACAGTGAGTGGTATAGGACAAGTGATCTCTTTTTTTTCGAGAATGAACCATAGAAATTCCTTCTACACATGCTGAGCATGAAGGCTTTTAGGGTGAATTCAAGCTCTGTCGTCCTGATCCGTGTCATAAAAAAATCATGTTGTGTCACACATGGCATATACGGAAGCCCGGGGTGGAATTTGTGACTTTTCATACATGGCATACACGGATGTCCCGGGTGAAAGTAATGCTTTGTTATAAATGGCATATACGGAAACCCTATTTGATATGTAGTATTATTGCAGACGTAGCTACATGCTCATGAAGCGTAATGCCGTTATGTTAATTAAATTAACATTGGTCCAGGACACTTCGTACTCGTGAGGGTCTTCGTCGCGTTTCTGCATTCTGATTGTTGTGACGGCATGACTAAACGTAAACAAACCGTCCATATCAAGTTCGCTATTTGATTAGGTTAGACAGATTTGGATACACAAATGGATTATTCCGCTCCATTTGCCGGCCAATTCGACATCACGGGGAAGAGACCACGCTCGTTGGTAGAACACGCGAGTGACTGAATTAATATGCACGTCTTTCTAGACATAATAACATCTGGTAAGACCGCTGTAAAGTACGTTGAATGTATCTAGGGGTTATACGAAATCAGGCCTAATGCCTAGATAATTTCTTTCAAAGAAAACGATTTGGCTGCGGGAGACCTCTCTATGAGAAAAGCGTTCTCAAATTCAGCTTTAATCCATCGACTAAACCACCTACCAGAATCAGCGTAAGGGATTTAACAGACGAAACAATATCTGAAATGACCTTCCAGTATAAATTGCCGCAAAACTAAAAACGTATCAAAGATTTAACACCGAAGAACTACTATCTATCATGCGTACATTGCAGCGTATATTAACAAAACAAAATTTCCACCACGTATCACCATTGGTGAGCAAGATGCAAAATCTTTCTTACATCAGAAATGTACAATCCGATGTTTAAACTGCCTCCATGGCAGTTTAACAAGAAATTGCACACAACAAGAAATTGCCAAAACCAGATGAGATGTCCCCAGTGTAAGGAATAAGGCCACTTTCAATCAGATTGTCGACACAAACAAATCAAAAATGCAACAGAAAACCTTAAAACCCGGACCCTCATGCAATAAAAACAAAACATAATCAAATAAACGTTGCGCCAAACAAGTCTTCAGACATCACGAAAATACCTCCCTACAAAAAGACTATTCCTACCAATTCTCCCTACGAGCAATCTCATAATACATATAACTCATCGCCTAAAAATCTCGGATATAAAATACGATGTTTATCGATGTCAAACTTACTTCATTCAAAAAATGACAGAAATAATAAACCAACATGACTACGACAACAAATATATTGTCATTAGGGATTTTAACTGCGTTTTAAGCGATAATGATGTGTGGCCAAAATCAAACTATGTGCCGATTACTGTAGAAAAATGTCAGTCAACCTTCATAAAAGATAACAACATTTCGGACTCATTCAGAAAAATATATCCGCAAAATAGGACATACTCATCTAAGGAAAAACTATGGTAGCAGAATAGACAGGGTGTAACATAGCAATATGTTAAATACGTTATACAAGACAAGATTGTGGCTCAAAGAATTCAAAAGCGAGACCCAAACAAAGAAGACGAAAACTAATAGTAGACAACTAGCCGAAGACGTCGATGAAGTTTCCGACGCAGTAGAAGGTTTTTATCGCGAACTTTGGGGGGGACGGATGCAGGGTTGTTCAATACAAATCGAATATATTTGAATATCAAAGCATTCGAATACCTTTTCGGCATGATTTTCTAATAATTCCGAATGATAGCCACTTTTTACGGTAAACACGGTGTTCCGTTTTGCGGGAATGTTCAAACGATTTTTTGCGCTTTGTCACGTATTGTAATGATATGTAATGTCGCATCGCAGATCTTGCACGGTTGCGTGGTGGACATTGCCGCCATTCCCTTAACAAGGCATCTTTCTAATTTACACATTCCTTTCCATTAAGTCTAAATTTGAAAATTAGTTAAAGCCGTAATTGTTAAGATATCCAATAAGTTGTCGCAAGTCGGAAAAACAAGTCGATTTCTCAGGAAAAATAATTCATACTCTTTGCCGTTTTTAGGCAAATAATTTTAATTATGATAGTTAAAAGTTTCCAAATTTTATTAGGCTGATTTTCTGTTGCGCAAAATATTCAAATCCGATACCAGCATTTAAAATTATTATGCCATATTAATTGAATTTTGTGCAACGTAGCTCATGGTTGCGTTGACAATTAATCTGTGGACATAAAAAGTGCGGTAAATTGCCCGATATTATTAATATTTGATTCATATTTTCGTATTTACAAAATGATAAATGTATCAAACTATCAATACCCTAAAACAGTGGTCGGCAACCTTTTTCAAGTGACGGACCGGTAAAGCATTTTTGGCGGACCACCTTTATACAAACGAACTAAGCCTATGCAATATATTATACGCATTAGGAAATTTATGTTGATAATAATACTAAAAACGACGGTGATGCTATTTAATGCGATATCTGTATTTGTTTGATGGCCATTATTCCGATATTCGAGATATGGTCGACATTGACACACGTAACGTGTTTCTTACATCCAGCCTACTTCGATATTTCGTTTAACCAGGCCTCACATTAATAAGATTTCGGGAAAGTTAACAATGCCTGTATCTATTTGTTGGGGAGATCTTATCCGGACTGATGAGAGACATTCTTATACAGGCGTAGAGAGAACAATTGACCCAGTTTTATTGCGACATACTGATATGGCAATTGTTTATGAAGTCAGACATGCTGCTTAATAGTGTTGTGCGGTGGTCGGCAAACTTCATGTTCGTGCGGACCAAATATACACATTTCCGGTAGCGCACGGACCGCAATATTTCCGCCTCCGATTAATTAAACTGCAAATTATGGCGCATTCGCATTGCTGCCTTTCAACTGCTGTATTGAAAGCCTGTCCCAATGAGATGTGTATGTGGCGTTTTTTCAATATATTATCCAACAATACATTGTTTTTATTTACTTATTATCAATGCGAAAGATGATGTTTTTATGGCAACTTGTCGTCCAAATGATGATCTGACAAGCGATTACGAAATTTAATCTGAGTGTAATGCATTTTAGATAAAGCTGCTCAAGGCCATATGTTCTTCTGAACGTGCAGGTGACACGTTTTGCAATGTCGCACAGATGAGCTGTGGCGCAGTCTCGGGGTCGAATTTTGACGACTCGTTTCGTAACGAGTTCAACATTGGAACCCTTAACAACTGCGATGCTGACTGGGCATATCGAGCAAACCGGTTTTGGAATGCGCAATGAAGAAAAATATTTTTCCGTTCAAGCACTTTGGAATGCTCGACCCTCGTCGCTCCGTTTCCCAGACATTTTTAAATTTTAAAAATCAAAATTACCGCGAACGACATACAACTGACGCTACTTGTTACATAACAAGCGCCATGCAGCAGCACTTGTCACTACATAAATCTGTGTAGAGACAATAATATATTTGGGATCAATTTTTGTTCTATGTATTAAATTTCGGGTCTTTCGAGGGTCGCAACAATGATTCGGCAACTGGGATCACCAAATTTGTTCTTGACACTGAGCAGTGCCGAGTCATATTGAAATGATTTCATTAAGATGCTTCTGCAAAAGGAACGCAATCAAATTGTATCAGATGAAACTGTAAAAGGGTTGGGATACATGCGAAATCAATAAGATACTCACTCGCAACGTTACTGACGTTACTCAACATTTCAGTAATAGAAAGAAAGTTATCTTTAGACACTTGCAAAAACGGTTCTTGTCACGGGTTCTACATCTATCAGCCATCAATCTGTTTTCCAGTTTCCCCGGAGTTTCCGACGCTCTACCAGATTGAGTTCTGATTTTATCAGCCAACAATCTGCTTTCACGTTTCTCCGGAGTTTCCGACGCTCTTTCAGATTGAGTTCTGATTTTATCAGCCAGCAATCTTCTTCCACGTTTCTCCGGAGTTTCCGACGCTCATTCAGATTGAGTTCTGATTTTATCAGCCAACAATCTGCTTTCACGTTTCTCTGGAGTTTCCGACGCTCTTTCAGTTTGAGTTCTGATTTTAGCAGCCAACAATCTGCTTTCACGTTTCTCCGGAGTTTCCGACGCCCTTTTAGATTGAGTTCTGAGGTTTTTACCCAACAATCTAAATTCACGCGTCTTTGGTGTTTCTGAGGCTTTTGCCGATTGAGTTCTCATTTTATTGGACAACCGCCTGCTTCCACGTTTCTCCGGAGTTTCTAACGTTCTTGCAGATTGAGTTTTCATTTTATCGGTTAACCGTCTGCATTCACGTTTCTCCGGAGTTTCCGACGCTCTTGCAGATTGGGTTTTCATTTCATCAGCCAACTGCCTGCTTTCACGTTTTTTCAGTTCATTTTAAACGCTACGTATAGTCGTCATATTTGCATAACTGACTAAAAATTAAAAAAAATGTGCGCTGAAAAACTTTCTCAGTTTAGTAATTAGGCTAAAGTTACTGAATACGGTTGGATTCAACTCTAGCAAACCTATCCCCAATGTCCGGTTACCGAAATTGTCAGTTCATTTTGAACGCTGTGCAGATGGTCCTCGTCGCAAGTCGTTGCGCGAGGAGTAAATTGTGGCTAATTATTAAAACATGTCCACTAAAATTTCTAAGGCTTCCCCAGTTTGAGGACTATCGAGGTGGAAGATGTCTTGTTTGAGAAAGTATTTTCCTCCGCCGGGGGGAACCATCTCAGATTTTTAATTTTCTACTCATTTTACGAGGAAATATGGCCAGAATGTAAGAAAATTAAACATTTCTCCGCGATCGGGTGTTTTTTTGTTGTTGTCATGGAAACGAAACATCAGCCCAGTTTTTCGAGGAAACGCACAATACTAGGATAACATACGTGAAAAGTTTCATCCAGATTGATCCAGCCGTTTACACGCTACAACTAAACAGATAGATACACATACACACAGACAGAATGACTGATAATAACGGTCTCCTATAGCGGAGATCCGATAAATTGGGTTTTCCAGTTGCTGGAAAGATTTGGTATGTCTCGTAAATAAGTAGATACAAAAGATATACAACAACGCTAAGGTCCAAATCATCACCAATGGTAACCTATCAAGATAAGTGACATTGAACAGAGGGGTAAGGCAGGGGGACCTTTATCCAACCTGCTTTACGTACTCGCGACCTACTCACTCCTACAGGCAATAGGAAAGTAAGTACCGATAATTCCTAAGAATGCAAGGCTGCAAAGAGCATTTCAAAACACCGGCATACCTCGATTGCATACAGCGGTGACAAAAAATCATTGAAACGGCTGTTATGTACGGTAGAACGCTTTGCTAAAGCATCTGGCTTGAAACTGAATTACACAAAAACAAAAGGAATACGTTTTGGACATGACAAACCAAATATCAATATAACATAGGCAAACTCTGTAGTAATAATAGGGGATTTATTTGGGAACACCAATTCGAACCGGATATGGGATACAAAGTGAAAGAATGTATGGAATATCCAAGCAGCCTGAATCACATGAAGCATAACCTGATAGATAAAACAGTGATATCGAAATCTCTATTAGTGCCAAAGCTGCTTTACTGCTTCCAAGACTTAGCTTCACTAGCACGGCACAAAACTAAAATCTGAAAAATGTGTAACTGTAAAGGTATTTATTTGTTATAAAAAAGACAGAATATGAGACAATTATAAAACCGCAAATTTAGAGAATTTTCAATCTAATTATTATCTCATTTTTTTAGACATCCAATTCGTGAAACCAATAATGAGGTACATCTCAGAACAATTACCAGAAGATGAAAAAGGTTATCATTTTTTGCACAGATGAATCGATCATCAGGTCGCCCTCCAGATCCAGTTAAAGGATTTCCTCGGTCACAGCTGCAGGAACGACAAACCTTATACACCAAAACCGATAGACCACGAACAAGAAAGAATACAAATCTTTAAAACATACAACTTTGATACAGCCGACATTAAAAATTCCCAAAGAATTATACAGCGGACTAATTACGAATATGACAGCCAAGGAACCCAAATTTAAAAACTCAAACAACTGGAAAAACCTGTATACCAAATTATTCGACAATGGAAAGAGGATTTTTTTTTTGCGGGAACGTGTTTATGCACCTGGTGTCATTTAAACCGGAAACAGAAAGACATATACCTAATGACTGCAAAAAAAACCACAAAGCTTGTGGCCACCGCAATATTTGTATAGGCCCAGGGAAACGACTATGTCACCCTGGTCCCTAACTATAACAAACGAGCTGATACAGGAATACAACTTTCCACCAAACCTTGGAAGCCAACAAAGTAATACCATGGCCTTTACACTAACAAAAATGAAGCAGTGCATACGGGCCGAAAGGAATAATGTCGCAATAAAATATAAATCATCGAGCACATTGAGAGTTTCTAAAGAATTCAAATAGAAATGAACCTATAAGTCCAAACTCAAAGGCCTGAAACGCATAAATTGAAGCATACCAAACAATTATTAGATTCTACCCACCATCAAAACCGCCGACTTGAATTAGGTGAAAAACCTACTTACCCAGCCAGCTATATGATTCCGTATGCAGGACTGATTAAAACCGGGGCACAAGGTAGGAACACGTAGAAACAAAACTAAATGTAGATTATGTAAGAGTGAGGACCATGTCCAAGCGGATTGCCCGCAAAAAAAAAGATGAAACCCAACGATATGGAGTCGTGGCTAAAGACATCCATATCTAATAGACCGAGTCTAGTACGACTTGCCATTAGAAGGAAATGGTATAAATACCTATCACCAATTAACCAGGATATTGGAGTAGAGCACTTCGAGCTCGGCGTCAGATATAAATATTACCAGCGAAGAAGTCAGAGACTGGTCCCTCTCCAAAGATGCCAGTAACGAAGAAGTAACACCACTAAAGCTAACACCCAAACAAAATAGGATTTCAAAATCAAGACTAAAACCTCCATCAACAATAGGAAATTCGACCGTCCATATTAGGTAAACCTTACGTGAATATGATCATCAATGACTTCGAAACGAGAGATTCAATATCATCCTGAGTCTTCTTCGACACCCCTCAACACAATTTGGCATACTAAGAAACCCCTGAAAACACTAGTGAAATTAATCAACTGCAAACAACAGAAATCAAATACATAACACAAATAGGCAAACTGGCAAGAGATTCGCAATCTTTTCAACAACATCACCAGTATCGCACACTCCAAAAAAGGGTAAAGAGACGGAAACAATTGAGAATAACTAAAACCAATCTATCTTAACAGATGATACACAAAAAACGTCCACAAAGCAAAATCTAGTCTAGCCCACTGTTAGTTTTAAATCGGGCAAATATAAAGCATAGCACCTGATGCCAATTACATCCCTAAACGTAAACGGTCTAGCAAGACATTGGACAGACACTATAAAATTTTATATTTGACCACAACGCGGACATTTATACCTTACAAGAAGTACATATAATTGTTAACAAAAAGAAACAGAAATATATTTAAATAGAAAAGTTTACAAGATATTCCACAATACACAAGACCAAAAAACAATACCAGCAGGCCGGCAATACTACTCAGGGACAATGGCACTAGTCAAAAAGAACCCTTGTCAGACACTGAAAATAACTCAAGAGAATATCGTTTTGGACAGAATCAGCAAAATAGGTTTGGAAAATAAAGAGACAAACCAAAAGCTACCAATAATCAATGTGTATGCACCTTACAAAGTTCGGATAAAAACTACGCAACATTTTTTTATTGAACTAACGGAAACCCTAAAACAATCGACAACACACAAATTATCTGTCGTGATTTTAATATGATCTACTACCCAAAAGATGCCAAATACAAAAAAAATTAAACCAAAGAAAGCGGCCGGAATATTCAAAAAACACATGGATACATACGCATTTGTAGACGCATACACGTACCACCCTGATAGAGAAGTATTCACAATTACAATAGGAACACAAGCAAGGAGAATCGACAGGGTATATGTCTCGAATGATATCAGATACGAAATCAAAAACACAAGCTACAGGATAAATAACATCTCAGACTACGCTCACTGCCTCCTTACCTCTTCCTGACATGTTTGCGTTTTTGATAATGATAATTGCTACACCCGGGAATAACTCCCAACGTGCTTCAATTGTGGAGAGACAGGAGACCAAAGAGCCGACCAGAACACCGTCAGTGGTTTCAACGCCCAAAGGAAACGAACTAGGAATTACCAACATACTTTCGCCCGACAACAAACCGAAATCGCCAAATAAAGAAATACTCGGGCATCAACAACCCGCACCTAGTATGGGAAGAAACCTTGTCATATCGGTATTTAAGAAACTTTGTGTCATTTCACCTTGCCATCAATGTGCATATTGAAATATATACTATAATATATGATTGTTTGGAATTACCATGTTTTGTTATTTCATCATTGGAGTCTTTTGGCCCAATGCTATATTTAAAAGGTTTGTCATACTCTATTTTGTGAGGTTTCCGATTATAATTTATATTCACCTTGTGTAGTCAAGTCAGCAAAATAGACGTTTTTCAGTCTGTGATTTCGCTCCACAAATTTGCCACCCAAGTTATAATTTCTTCTAATTTAGGCTATGGAGTATGGACTAGGTCTCATTCTAAAAGACTTATTTTACAATAATTTTCATGAATTGAACTATGTCTTATTTTCAGGGAAACGCGGTAGTAAGCAGTGGCACTAACACAACTTGAAGAACTGTACAGCCGTATGACCGGTACCGGACTTCAGTGCTACCAGGTACTGGTACCCAGACATACTACCCAACATAGTCAGCATTATATAGTACGGTACCGTACTTTATATCTTCAAAGAAGATATTACGACATACCTGATCCAGAACACTACAGGTGAACATTGGCACTCAATGAAGCAACAGCTCACACTCGCCAACAGGGTTGCCAGACCCCAGCGATCAAAAAAGGCCAAATCAAGACATAAAAAAGCCAGAAAAAGCCAACAATTTTACTAAGTACAAAAGCCCCATGATTTGTCAGATTTTAAGCCCTTGGCAACGTACTGATGATGATGTAGAACCATCAGTTCATTCAGTGAGGCACACAAATAGAGAGTAAAGTTCCTATAGAACTGTAGAAAGTAACATAAATATCGAGCGGACAGCATTATTTTACCATTCAATATATACAATACAGGGTGCCGCTTCAGTCTGTCAGTTTGTAATATACCTACATGTTTCTACTTAAACTTGTGATATACCTTAAAAAATTCTTCCTACATCGTACTTTACTATTGAATAATTTTTCACTTTCAAAA